CTTTGATGAATAGAAAGTCCAAAAGAACAGCATTTGTTTGAAATAGAAATTTTGTAAATACCTTTACTCACACTTTTGATCAGTTTAATGTATCCTTGCTGAACAAATGTATTAATTTCCTTTTTTGGTTTTCTTTTTTTTTGTCACAAAAATAATAAGCAGCACTGTTATTTAATAATAAATGTTTCTTGAGCAGCAGATCAGCATATTAGAATTATTACTGAAGACTGGAGTAATGATGCTGAAAATTCAGCTTTGGAAACATATATAAAAACATTTACAAATATAGTTTTTACTGTATTTCTGATCAAATAAATGCAGCCTTGGGGATAAAAAGAGACGTCTCTCAAAAACCTTTGAACTGTAGTGTCCACGGACAACCCTAATATTTTATCATACAGTATAATACAGTACAGTACACTAATATGTTGTGCTATAGTGTATTATAGTGCAATATAGTATAGTGTTGCCTGATACATGTGGTATGTCAATATGGTATAGTAAAAGTAAGAAACAATACTATTTAATACTTATATGTGACCCTGGAGCACAAAAGCAGTCTTAAGTCGCTGGAGTATATTTGTAGCAATAGCCAAAAATACATTGTATGGGTCAAAATGATAGATTTTTCTTTTATGCCAAAAATCATTAGGATATTAAGTAAAGATCATGTTCCATGAAGATATTTTGTAAATTTCCTACCATAAATATATCAAAACTTAAGTTTTGGTTAGTAATATGCATTGCTAAGAACTTCATTTGGACAACTTTAAAGGTGATTTTCTCAATATTTAGATTTTTTTGCACCCTCAGATTCCAGATATTCAAATAGTTGTTGATGTATAAATCTCAATTTTGAAAAATTGACACTTAAGACTGGTTTTGTGGTGCAGGGTCACATTTGTGAGTGAGAAATGAGAAATACAGCTAGTGTTATATCTGTTGTGTGTTTGTTGTGGCAGGGTGGAGGGATATACACAGCTCTTCCCCAAAACGACTCGTCAGACTGCATGAGCTGTCAAAACTTCTGCAACAACAACAGGTGAGAAAGAGGGAAATGCAATACTGGAAAAGTCAAGCCCAGTAGCTTGTTAATGTTTGGTGTTTACATGCCTGCAGAATTATGTTTTGCTCAGCACGCCTCCAGTCAGCAAACCAATCATCTGTTCCATCTGGTTCTCATTTCACCCCTGACCTGAGCTTATTCTGTTCTGGTCTAAACACACACACACATACACACATGGTGACTCCCCTCGACGAGGCTTGTTTGTGTACTCTAGTGTGTCCGGCAGTAACAGTTTACACTGAACGCACCCTTGCTACAGTCTTAATGAGCGGCGTGTTTATTTAGCCGCGGCCAGCAGGACAGCAGAAGGAAATCCTTCTGAATGGAGCTGATATCAGCGTACCAGCTAACCGTGTGCATCTGTGTGTGCTTTATATCCCTGATTACTTCTTGAGTGAGCATACAGTTATCTGCATGTGTATTTATACTCGCAGGTATTGTTTGTTTATGTGTTTATGTGAGTGTGTGTGTGTGTGTGTGTGTGTGTGTGTTGAAGCCTCTGTGTCTTATCAGCATGTGCAAACACACAGAGACACAGGCTGTTGAGTCTGGCCAGGCAGCGTAGAGACTCGCGGAAATAAATCTGTGATCTCAGATGCGATCAGAGTTTGATATTGCAGAGATGCTTGTTTCAGCTGGCACACAGTCTCAAGCTGTGCTTTAAAGGTTTTATTCACAAAAAAATAAAGAAATAAATTCTTTCACATCATTTACATTATATGTCCTTCTGAACCTGTGTTACTTTCTTCGGATAAACACAAAAGTAGAAATTTTGAAGAATGTTCATGCTGCACAGTACACTAGAAGTACATTGTGACAAGGGATGTAAACACCTTTGGGTTTATAATAAATATGATAAAAGTGGTATGCATGATTTAAATTCATATTTTTTATTATTTATTTATTGGTTGATATTGGATATTGTACATAATCATTTTGCCTGTTTTTACATTTAGATTTTCTTTGCTGTCATCAAATACTGTAAAACACTTAAAATTTAATAACACTGGTAAATGTAATATTTAGCAAATATCTTAATAACACTGGTAAATGTAATGTTTAGCAAATATCGGAAATAATATGAATTGTTCATACTGTGCATAATAATGTTGCCTAAATGCCCTTTAACTGCTTTCAACTAGTTTTATATATATATATGGCTTTCAGCCAACTAAACAATAAGGTTCAATAGTTAACATTAGTTAACTACTTTAGTTAACATGAACTAAGTATGAACAATACTTCTACAGCATTTCTTAATCTTAAGTTTATTTCAACCTTTATTAATGCATTATTAACATCAAAAGTTGTGCTTGTTAACATT